AACCTGGAACTTCCCCCTTTCCTGGGGACCACCCTGTTACATTACTATTACATCTTATTTGGCAATATTTCCCATGCACTTCAACAAACCAAATAAACTTTGAGTTTATAATTTCCTCTTTTATAAAAACAGAACAAATCTTATGAGATGTTACTCCAAGGGCTCTCTGGAAAATAAAAATATCAGAGTAACTTGATCAAAAATGACTTCATTTGGAATTTGATTTTGGCAACTTTATCAGAAGTATCAAAAGTTTTTTTTTTAAAGAAGTATGAGGGCCTCCCCGGTGGCGCAGCGGTTGAGCGCTGGGTTGCAAGGCTGCCCTCAGCCTCTGCGGTGCCGGTTCAATCCCTGGCTGCTCCCCGGCCACCGGAGGAGGGTCCCACATGGCGCGCAGACCTCTCCTGCGGCCCGCTGCTCCCCTCAGCAGTGTACTTCGGTCCTTCTGCCTGCTCTGCTCCCCGCTCTGGCTCTGGTGAATTCTCTCACCCTCCTGCGCTTCTGACTGTACCAGTGCTTGTATAAATAAATAAATAAATATTTAAAAAAAAAAAGTATGAAAAGTTTTAAAACACTTGACTAAATAGGATTCCAGATCATTATGAGAAAATAATTAACCATTTAACCAAAGTGACAAAGATTTCTAAGGCATTTACAATTTTAAGTAGTCCTGAGCAAAACTTAGCTCTTAATATGGGAAGGCTAGATTTATAACAGGGTGGTCCCCAGGAAAAAAGAAGTTCCAGGTTCCCTGCCCCACCCAATGGAGGGTGGAGCTAAAGAGAAGAAAAGAATCTGGAGAAGGGACTGAGAAGGAAGTAGGATGGAGAGCCAGAAGGAGACCGCAAGAGGCACATGGAGCAGAGTGACATGTGAAGAAACTGAGCTTGCCTTTTGGTCGTCGACTGGGTGACACAGATGTGGGTGAGAGACCTGTGGGGAGGTGACTGTGGCAGCTTTTACATTGGTTTTGATTTTACTCTTTTCCTCCCAAACTTGTCTGGTTGTTTCTGACTCTTTTCTGTGGGTCCCCACTGAAAGGTGCTTTAGACTTGCGGCAGGCTTTCGGGCCTTGTTCTGGGCCAATCCCGTTTGGGTGGACTTTTACCCACGAGGGGACGGGTAACTTTGGGTGCTTGATTTAGAAACTATTTTTTGCCTTTCCTGTGTTGTTTCCTAATTGCATTAAAGTTCCTTTTCATTAAAGTCTCATATGTTTTGTGTTGATGCTGCGGATGGCAGAACCTATTTAGAGCAGGCAGGTTTGCAGGGTCTGGGGTGCCCCTCTCCCTGCCGTGACATATGTGGGTTAGCTCCCTGGTCTGGGATGGAACTCACGCCTCAGTGGCTGGCAATAGCTTGATAGCACTGAGACTTTAACCCCTGCGCCACCAGGGAAGGCTGAAGTTTGCATTTTATTGGAGTGGCTCAGTCCGTTAAAGTCATTCTTCCTCACCCCACCCTCCACAAAGATTGTGAAATTGTTCCTAAAGCGACAAAATTTTACCCACATTTCTGCTCTATCTTCTTCTTATTTTTTTAAAATATTTATTTATTTTTATGCATATAAGAACTGGGATAAGGCCAGAGGTATGGGGGTGAGAGGATTCACCAGAGACAGAGTGGGGAACAGAACAGGCAGACTGACAGAAATACACTGCTGAGTGGAGCAGTGGGTGAGCCAGGAGAGGACCGCTGCGGCATGTGGGTAGCTCCCTGGCCAGGGATTGAACTCTTGCTGCAGTGGCTGCAGATAGCATTAACCCCTTGAGCCACCAGGGAGGCCCCGCTCTATCTTATTTTGGAGGCCAAGTTCTCAGGACACAAGGAGCAGCTAAAGGAAAACCTGATCCATCTCTATGGTTTTCCTTTACACAACAGCACAAAAGACAGGGAGTGGTGGAGCAGAAGGAAGAGGACAGGAAAGGGGTGAGATCTCACAGGTATTCTTTTTTTTTTTTAAGATTTATTTATGCATACAAGAGCTGGAGTGCAGGCCAGAGGCGTGTGTGTGTGTGTGTGTGTGTGTGGGGGGGGGGGGGAGGGAAAGGGGGTGGGGGTGGGAAGTTGAGAAGATTCACCAGAGACAGAGTGGGGAACAGAACAGGCAGATGGACTGAAATACACTGCTGAGGGGAGCAGTCAGCGAGTCAGAAGTCTGCTGCGCCATGTGGGTAGCTCCCTGGTCTGGGATCGAACTCGTGCTGCAGTGGCTGCGGATAGCTTCATAGGTTGCATCTTAACACTTGTACCACCAGGGAGACCCACACAGGTATTTCTTATTGTCTTTTAGCTGTTTATTGTAATAGTTATTGTCTTTTAGTTTTTTTGCAATAGTATTCTGGGGGGACAAAATTTTAGAATCCTGATATTTCTTGGATGCTTTTAAATACCAATTAAAGAAAGTGTCTCATAAAATAAATGATTTCTAAATCTAAATCATTGTTTTTTCAAGTTTGGGATGCAAAGAAGGAAAAAGTTTTGGGTGATGAAAAGAGCCCCATAATGGCAGCTATAATTTTAAACCTTCTTTGTTGATATCGGCCCTATGAAATGAGAATTTACTAGTAAGGGCCATAATCTTTGTCCATAAATCCAGCTAGAGTCCCAGAGGGAAGGACTTCTCAGTAAGACTTAGACAAAAAGTTCCCATGATAGAACAGCGCTCAAAGGAGAATGACAACAGGGGGATGAATGCCTCAGAGTCTTGAGCAGGAACTCCAAGAGTTCCGGCCCTGAACGTCATAGAGCAGGGACAAAACCGCTGCAGCAGGAACTCCTGCCAGGAATCCAGCAACTGGGAGTCGGTTATGTGTGCTCACCAGTGGTCATGAGACACCTACCTCCCTTGACTCAGGAACTCCTGCCCCAGTTGCAGCAACTGAGGCAGCACATGAATACTCACCAACCAAGCAATCCCTGATGTAGGAACTCTGGCCAGCATTTTACTGGCCTTGAGACAACTTGTCCCCTGGGGCTTCTGCCCCCCAACCCCCAAGGAAGGCAGACCTGAACCCAGTGAATGGAGATTTGGGCCTGAGAAGACTCAAAGGTGAAGGAGAATGCATGCGAGACTACATCTGTCCTTGAAGTGGTGGAGCCATAGGCACTTAGTGGGGTACCTCACCTGTTTCCTGCAGACTCTGGTTGAAAAGGTGAGATTGCTTCAGATCCTGTTTCTGACATCATGCATGTCAACCTAAAAAATCAGGAAGTCATTTAGATGGCAGTGATTTTATTTGGGCTCAAAGAATTGCAATTTGGGGATCACAGTGTTCAAAGCACAAAATATGTCTCCAGAAGGTATAACAGGGTGGTCCCCAGGAAATGGGGAGGTTACAGTTTGCCTGCCCCACCCAAGGGAGGGTGGAGCTGAGTAAGGAGAAGAAGCTAGAGAGGAGACTGGGGAAGGAAGGAAGAAGGATGGAGTGCAAAAGGAGTCAAGGAGGAGGCACATGGGGCAGAGAGACATGTGAAGAAGTTGTACTTGCCTTTTGGTCCTGGACTGCTTGAAACAGATGTGGGTGAGAGACCCGTGGGGAAGTTAACAATGTTAGTGTTTAATCTTGATTTTGAGTTTGCGCTTTTCCTCCGGGACTTGTCTGGCTGTTTTTGACCCTTTTCCATGGGTCCCTGCCAGAAGGTGCTTTAGCCTTGTGGCAGGCTTTTGAGCCTTGATTTGGGCCAATTCTATTTGGCTGGACTTCTCCCACGAGGGCATGGGTAACTCTGGGTGCTTGATTTGAAAACTATATTCTTTCCTTTTTTGTATTGCACACTAATTGTATTAAAGGTTTATATGTTTTGCCTTGATGTGGCGGATGTTTTGCCTTTAGGGCGGAAAGGTTTGGGGGTTTTGGGGTTCCCCTCTCTGCCCTGTAACAAAGGGACAAAGATGGGGGATTTTTATAGGGAGAAAAATAATGGAAAATGAGGTAATGGTGACGATGTCACAAGGTAAAATGGTCAGGTGAAGGGGTCACAAAAGGATGGGTCACAAAATAAAAGTAGTAAAAGTCTTTTCAAACAGGATTTTCTCGTTCTTGGCTTTTTGGAGTGTTGTGGTTTGGCCCATTCCAAGGGTCTGGCACAGTTTATAGTGGACAGTAGGCAGTTTTTCCTGCCTACTGCTTGCTCTGGCTCTGTTTAAAAATGGCTGCAGCAATGCCAGCTTTTTAGAGGCATTGTGGAATATGAGATGGAGGTTCAGAAGACCTGAATTTAAATTCAGATTTAGCCATTAACTGTGTGATCTTGGGGGATTCAAGGGCTCAGTATGGGCTTCTGTAAAAGGGAGGGTTCTGGTTAGTTTCGCTGCAAGCATTTTGCCCCAAGCATTTTCATGCCTAACTAATTGGCAGTAAAACAATTTTTTTTTTTTTTGTAGAGGAGCAAAGAAATGGTTGACAGTTGGTTTCATATCTCCATTGACTAATCAATCACTGCCTTTGGCAGATTTTTAATGTATTTTATTCTAGTCAGTTTGGTTTCACTTCCCCCTTGTTGAAGTTAGAAACCAACTCTTTGCATGCTGATTAGTTATCAATTTCTAGTATACATGGACATTTTAAGTGTATTAGAAATAGAACACTTTGTATTTGGTTATTTTTCATATTTCATGATGTCCTTTTGGATGACCTCTTCAAAGAAATTGATTTACAACCAATTAGTTATGTGGCGAAAATGTGGACTTCGAAACTACCAGACCTGAGGTGGGAGCAATGCTACTACTTTGCACAATTGCCTCAGGGACCAAGAAAACTAATGGAGTTGAAGCTGGATACCTCTTCCCTCCTCTCTGCACAGGAGGAGGCTACTCCAGGGGAGCAAAGAGGTAGAAGGCAGAGGAGGACGTGTCTGGTGATTCACAGTCTGCCCGGGGCACTCTGTTGCCGCTAGCCTCCCCAGCCTTTTAAAAAACACATATACTAGTTACTGTACAGGAGCAGAGCCAATTGGTTTAAAGTCTTTTCCTTATCTTTTCCTCTGGCAGGCCGTCCCTGAGCTGCAGCCGTGTGCTGGTGCAGACGGAGGGAGCTGTGACTAAGGACAAGGTACCTTCACTATGGCCTACACTCAGCTCCTGGCTGAAGTCAAGGGCTGGCTCCAGATCCGAAGTTCCCTGGCTCGTCAGTGCCTGGCAGAATTTCTGGCTGTATTTGTGCTCATGGTAGGCAAGGGAATTGGGGGAAGGAAAGTAGGGAGGTGGGTAAAAGTGTTGGCTCCTTCTGGTGCCCTGTCTGTCCCGTGGTGTCCCACCTCCTCTCATCTCTTCATCATTTCTCTCTCCCCAATGGGCTCTTCCAGCCCCTCCTACTCCCTCCTTTTTATTCTTTTTTTTTTTTTAAAGATTTATTTATTCATTTATACAAGCACTGTGTATAGTCAGAAGCGCGGGAGGGTGAGAGAATTCACCAGAGCCAGAGTGGAGAACAGGAACAGGCAGACTGATGAAATACACTGCTGAGGGGAGCAGTGGGCGCGCAGGAGAGATCTGCGCGCCATGTGGGACCCTCGCTGGTGGCCAGGGATGGAAGGCTGGGGATCAAACCGAATCGGTGCTACAGGAGCTGTGAAGCTGCCTGGCGCTCAACTGCTGCACCACCAGGGGAGGCCCTCATTTTTATTCTTGACCCTTTCCATCTCTCACCCTTCCTCCCTTTCTTTACTCTTCTCCTGTTTCCACCCCCTTCCCTCTTTCTGCCTTTCTCCCTTCTTTGCTGAGTCCTCCTGCAGGTTCAGTTCCCCTGGTTGCTCCCCTTGCCTCACCGATGTCTCAGTTTCTCTCTCTGGCCTATTGGTCCATGGGGTTCCTTCTTCCTGGGCTTCCTGTTCCTCATCTTCCCTCTTCCCACCAGATCATCACCCAGGGAGCTGTGGCCCAGACAGTTACCAGTGAAGAAACCAAAGGCAACTTCTTCACCAACTTTCTGGCCGGTGCTCTGGCCGTTGTGATAGCCATTTATGTGGGTGGCAATGTTTCAGGTGAGGAGGGTGGGGTCTGGTCAGCAGTGGTTGTGAGTGGTGGGGTGTTGGGGCACGTGAGTGTGGGTGTATTGGTGATGTTGAAAAGGCAATTTCTTTGGTGACTCATGTTTTTATCTCCTTGAGTTTGAACAGTCCTCTGGACTGGACTGAGATATGCTTTGGTCCGGTCCAGCCCCTCCCTTTCTGTATCTCCCATCCTGCTCCATAGATAGATATCTATGGCAAGGTACAAGGTGGATACTGTCCTCATGTGTACCCCACCCAAAACTTCCTGAGGTCCATCTTTGCTCTGGACCTCACCTGCATCAGTGTACCTGACTGGAGCCTTGAGACACAGTGCTAGGGTGGGAAGAGCAGATAGACATAGGTTCAAACCTTGCCTTCACTGTATAACCTGGATGGGAATAGTAGGAATAATATCTGCCTTAAGTGCTGTGGGGAGGGGTGGGGGTGACAGTGTTACCTGGTGACAGTGCCTGGCAACAACATGTAATGGATATTGTTTTTTTTCCCTTGATTCTTGAAGGGGCCCATCTGAATCCAGCCTTCTCCCTGGCCATGTGCCTCCTGGGACGCCTCTCCTGGGCTAAGCTCCCAATTTACTGTTTTGTGCAGCTGTTGTCTGCTTTCTGTGCTTCTGGAGCAACCTATGCTCTCTACTATGGTAACAGAGGGGACAGGGTGTGGGGCGGGGGGAACATTTGTGTGTGGGCCAGAGTGCTTTGGGATGGTTTGATTGAGCAAAGGTAGAAATCCAGGGTATCCCTCTCCCCTGCAGATGCCCTACAGAACTATACAGGTGGTAACCTAACAGTGACGGGCCCCAAGGAGACAGCCTCCATCTTTGCCACCTACCCTGCCCCCTACCTGACCCTGAAAAATGGCTTCCTGGATCAGGTAAGTGTGAGGGAGAGGCGAGGGAGAGCTCCAACTTTTGCCCCTGTTCCCTGGACTCCCAGCTTGTTGTTTAGGCTCTGGGTGGGATGTGGGGTAAAGTCTATTTTTGCACACACCCTCAGCTGCCTGTGTTGGACAGAGTCAGGTGACATGGGATGGTGGGCTGGAATATTTGGGGAAAATAGGGCTGAATCCTCTGCCTTTGTTAACTCTAAGGTTCTGGGCACCGGGATGCTGCTGGTGGGGATCTTGGCAATCCTGGACAAACGGAACAAGGGAGTGCCTGCAGGTCTGGAGCCCGTGGCAGTGGGGCTGCTGATTCTGGCCATTGGGCTGTCCATGGGTGCCAACTGTGGGTACCCACTCAATCCTGCCCGGGACTTGGGACCAAGGCTCTTCACCTATGTGGCTGGCTGGGGTCCTGAAGTCTTCAGGTGAGAAATAACTTTTACTTACTTCTAAGGGCTCAGTCTCTGGGCCCCCACCTCTCTCCTTAAAAATAGTCCTCTTGGCTTTTTAGATACTGTCTCTTCTCCCAACCCTGACTCACCCTTCTTCTCTTGCCACTTAGTCCCTCCCACCCACTGTTTTCATTGAAACAGTAAGATTTTTTTAAAAATAAATTTTATTTTTATATTCCCCATACAATTGCCATTCCCTTATTTTGACCCCAATCCCTCCCCTCCCCGCCCCCCACCGCCCATAGAGTGTCTCTGGTTCATAGTTGTTTGTTGATTTTGATTTTCACTTTCTTATAGTTATTCATTTTCCTGGTCCCTTATTTAAGTTTTCTAGATTCCTGCTATGAGTGAGACCATCCGGTATTTTTCTTTTTCTTTCTGGCTTATTTCGCTGAGCATGATCCCTTCCAGCGCCATCCATGTTGCTGCAAATTGCATGTGTTTATCTTTTTTGAATGCTGAGTAATATTCCATGGTATATATGTACCACATCTTCTTGATCCAGTCATCTATTTTTGGGCATTTGGGTTGTTTCCAAAGCTTAGCTATTGTAAACAGTGCTGCTATAAACATAGGGGTGCAGGTGCTCTTTGGAATTGATGTTGAAACAGTAAGATTTAAAGATTGCGTTTTAGGGCATACCATGTTACCTTTTTTGGCATTAGTGGCCGCCTCAGTAAAATGGGTTTATTCAGATAATTCCTTAAGGCAAGAAGGTGGGCCACGCTTTCTTGGGAGCTCCTCTGTAAGTGCTGCGTTTTGGTGAAAATGTTCTCTTCCTGGTGTCCATCACCCCAGCAACTACTTTAGGGAACTCTCTTGTTTCTGCTTCCTGTCTTTCCCGACTGAAGGCTAGGGGAGTCGCCCTGATCATCTCCCTTTTGTCTGTCTCTTGCAGTGCTGGTAACGGCTGGTGGTGGGTACCTGTGGCAGCGCCTCTGGTGGGAGCCATGCTTGGCACAGCCGCATACCAGCTGCTGGTGGCTATGCACCATCCTGAGGACTCAGAGCCAACTCAGGAGATAGAGTGTGTCCAGCATAAGAGCTCAGAGTTGGAGACTCCTGCCTCAACTTAAATGCAGTGTGAAAGCTATGATTCTGACAGCCCTCGCACCCCTCATGGTCCCTGGACTGACAAGACGCTCTTTCTGTTTATTAATATGCAAGATCCTGCACAGCTTCTCTGTTCACTCATGGAGGCATCGATTCCTCCTCAACGGGGGAGGATGCCCTGCTCTGGGAGAACTGGAGAACGATAAGGTCGGAGCACCCTGGCTCTTCCTCCCCTGAGCAGGTTTTCCGAGCCCGAGTCTCCAAGAACGTAGTTTCTCGAAGTAGCCGCCAGAGGGCGCGCCCCTTGGATGGAGCACTGGAAAGGCTGCGGGAATCAGCAGGGTGGCCGGGGACGAGCCTCCCGCGCGCGGCGTAACCCTGGGGGTTCTTGTCACCTCAGCGCCGCTCGTCTCTCCCCTCTCTGGGGTGCTCAGCCACCTGCAGAGAGTGGCTAGGGGTGGGGAAAATGCCTTCCCAAGGGGGCGTGGTGGTAGTGGTGATGGTTTGGGGCGAGTGGGCAGGGAGGGAGGGAGAGGGCCGGCTGTGGAACGCGCACTCTTTCGGGCATCTCGAGGCAGGGAAGGCTGGGCGGGGAGACGGAGACACAACCCACTCCCTAGAAATTTCGGGCTGAGGGGTGACACCCATGACATGAGCCAGGAGGTGGAGAAAGGTGGAGGGAAGGAGCTCCGTGGGGAGTGTCTGGTTATGGGGAAACTGGCGCTGGGGAAAATTCTCGCCGTTCCGCGTTTCCCCACCTCTCACGCCCCTCCCTGAAGGAGACGCTCTTTTGCAGAGAAGGCAGCGGTCTCCGGTTCCCATTTTTCCAAATAAAAAAAAAAACCTCCGCGATACCTAGCGTCCAGATTTATTTATTTTAAGGCGGAATGGCCCTGGGAGTGGTGTGGCGGGGGACCTGGCTGGCCGCGCTCAGCAGCAGAAGGGTTAAGACCCTCCCGCCGCCCCGCACAAAGATGGCGGTGCGCGCTCCCCCTCCCTCAGCCCTCCCCAAAACCCCCTCCCGCCCCCCGCCCTCTCCCGCCACCTCCGTCACTTCCGCCCCGCGGTGGCCGAAACTGACACAAAGTAGCGGGCTGAGGCCCCGGGGGGAGCGGGGCTGCAGCTCGGGGGGCTAGAGCCGCGGGGAGTGAGCCGAGCGCCCCCCGCCGCAGCCCCCGGCATGGGCAGGACGGGGCCTCCGGGGCGGGCGCCGAGCGCGGAGCGCTGAGGTGAGGCGAGGCCGGGCTGGGGGCAGCCCCGAACGCGCGGCCGGGAGGGCTCGGGGAGATGGGGCGGGCTGGCGGGGCCGCGCGGTGGTGCGGGCAGGGATCGCCCGGGCGGAGATCAGGAGCTCGCTGAGGCGGAGCAGGGGCCGTGGGCGACTGGAGAGAAGAGGGTGTCGGGGTGCCTGAGGATGGGGGAGAGCGGGGGGTAGTCCAGGATGGAAGGATGGTGAAGGGGCGCTGGAGAAGTATTTGGGGCATATGGAGCGGCGAAGAGAGAACTCCCCCAGAGTTGTGGGGGAGAGGAGTGTCCTGCGCCCGAGGGTTTGGGTGCCTGGAGAAGGGAGTAGGCGCTGGTCGGCTTTGTCCGTGAGGTGAGGGCTCAGCTGGAGCAAGACCCGGGGTGCGAGGAGCGGCGTGGCTGAGAGGTCAGAGCCGGGAACGAGTCCCGGGTTCTGCGCTTGGCGATGGACGGTGGTCAGGGTCGTGTTGGTCACAAGTGGCTTGGGGGTCTCGAATTCCATTTCCTTGTTTTCCGGACCTGCCCACAGATCTCCCTGCCAGCTCCCTCTGAAAGTGGGGAGCAGTTCTACCGCCTTTTGGTTGGAAGGGGACCGACCCCGCGGGGCCTAGAGGTGGAGCCGTTTTCCTCCGTGGATTGCCTTCTTCCGAGGGCTGGCTATTTTTATCCTAAATGTGGCTGCAAAGGGGGCTGGGGCAGGGCGACGTGGCTGATGGGCCTGCCGGGTTAAGAAAACGTAGGCTGTGTGAGACTGGGAAGGAGAAGTGAGAGGGGATCCCTGTTCCCAGGTTCTCCTTCCCCCCCTTTGCTTCCCTCTGGGGGGCTGATTGCTGGGGCCAAGCCAACTTTCAGTCTTCCCCAGGGTCTTAGAGGTAAAACAACTTTCCTGGTTCATGTCCAGACTCCTGACTCCTAAAAGCTCCTTCATTAACTCTTTCATTGGACTCAGATCTTCTGGGCTGATAGTGTCTCTAGATTGCCTCCCTGGCTGAGGACAGGGCTGGCAATGGAACGTGTGGTGCCCACCCTTGCATCCTCTTCTTTAACCTCTCCTTCTATACCCCACCCTCCTATGACTCATACTCTAGACTGGGTGGAGACCCTGGCTGGGGGCCCTGGAGGAGGACTTGGCATCTCTAAAATGTGGATGAGGTTTTCCTTCCTGAGCCAGGCACCCTTGGCTGCCAGTGTTGGGGAGGGTCAGGGAGGAAGAGGACTCTGGCTTTCAGTGCTGCCCCATCTGGGGTTCAGCAGGGCAGTCTGAGTTTGTGGAGGGGGAACTGGTGTGGGTGACGGGGCTGTGGCCAGAGTCTGTAATTATAGAGGCTGGGCAGACAGGCAATTAGTATCTCTTGAGGCTGACAGGCTGACAGGGTGTGCCCAGTGCTCTGGAGGCAGGGGCACCATGGAGGAGGTGGAGGAAGGCTTTCTACCCAGACAAAGAAAGGAGGTGACTAGAGGACCCAAGACCTGGCTGACAGTTTCCTTTGGGCGAGGCTGGGGAAGTGAGTTGAGGCTCTGTGACCCTGTCTTGTAGGCAGGCCTTTCATCTCTTTATGTGACTGGAAGGACATGGGAAGATGGAGGAAGCCAGGGGCCCTTTGGCTGATGCTTCCCTGTGCCTGCATCCATTGTCCTACTGTCTGAACTAGGCTTGGGGTGGGAGGCAGGGTGATGCCCCACTGGGGTTTGGGAAGACCCCTTTGCTGGTCCAGAAGGGCGCTGACCCAGACTGAGAGGAAGTGATTTGGGGACTCTGTGCAGGAAGTGAAGGCCATACCTCTCATGTACTCCCCTAGAGGAGGTGATAATGGAAACCCCAGTAATGGGGGGGGGGTGAGAGGGGGTTATAAGCATTTTTAGAAGGGTAGAACCTGCCCACCCTGTTTCCTGATGCTCTGCCAGGTGTTTCCTGGCACGTGTTCCCTCAACCCCACCCTTGGGGTGGAAATTCTGCTTTCCAGTAAACAGGCACCACTCACTGCCACCGGGAGGGCACAAAAGGGCAGCTGTTGTCCTTGGTTGGGTACCTTGAGAACTGTGCCCCTCTTGTCAGTATCTGGTCTTTTCCCCCTGCCCCCTGCTCCCTGTAGTTCTTGGTTTGTGTGGTCCCTTCATGTTATCTAGGGTGGAGGCATGGGATGAGGTGGGGGGAAGCCCCCTTTCTCAGGGACCTATGAAGGCAGTAGGAGCAGTGTGTTGGTGTGGAGTTGGTGGGGAACCTGATGGAGGGACAGAGTCCCAACCAGGGAAGAGACTCCAGAAGCCTGAGGAAGGGAATGAAGGGTGACCCTCAGCCTCCTAACTTCACGCATATGTCACCTTCCTGCAGGGTCTCCCATGGGATTGCTGGGACCTTGCTGGGTGAGATGGCACTGTGTGCAAAAAAGCGCCCCCCAGGTAAGAGGCAGGAGGGGGAGATCCCCGGGACTGTCAAAAATGGGTGGAAAGGCTCCCCACACAAAGGCAGGAGGGAGCACGGGTGATGAGTCTGAAGAAGGGCAGACCGAACCTCCTGCTCCGCCTGGGGCAGCATAGGCATCCCGTTTCTTCCTCTGGATCTCAGAGTGGGGGGTGGTTTCTCCCGCCGGAGGGTGCTGAGTCCCTCCCCTCACCCCAACTCTTAGACTCTGGCGCTCCTGTTCTCTGGCTCGGAAGCTGCGTTCCCGTCTTCTCTCCTGGGCCCGCTCACCCCCTGATCTCCTTTCTCCCCTCATTTTTCCATTCCCCGGTCCTCCTGCTTTTCCTGCGGTGGGGGTGGGGTGCTGTGAAAACGGTTGCCCCCGACAACGCCGGCCGTCCCCTCACCCGCTTTGGCCGGCGCGGGGAGGCGGGGCTCGGCGCTGGCTTTCGCCTACGCGGCACTGGCGGGCGCGGCCCCTGCAGCCGGGGGCTGGCGGGCGGGGGCGGAGCCGGGGCGCGCGCTCGGCGTCCGGGGCCACTCAGCGCGCTGGCGTCCGCGGGGGCCCTGGGGGCGGCGTTAGCGCCGCGGAGCGCGCAGCGTCCCCGGGTGCGGGCGGCAGGGAGGATGGCCCCGGCTGCAGGTGGGGCGTGCGCCCGACGGCCGGGGCTCCCCTCTGAGCGGCCGCAGCTCCCGCACCTCCCGGGGGGGCCGCCTCCTCGGCGCCGCTGAGGCCCAGGACAGACAGACTAATCTGCCCTCCCCCGCTCAAACCGGGATCATGACGGTCCCCAAGGAGATGCCTGAGAAGTGGGCCCGGGCCGGGGCTCCCCCTTCCTGGAGTGGAAAGAAGCCCTCTTGGGGGACAGGTAACGGGAGGCAGCGGCAGGCCGCTCTCCTGAGCCCGCAATTTCCCGCTCCCACCCTCATGCTCGCTTATCCTCAGCCTCCTCCACCTTCTCCGATCCTCGTCTTTGCCGACCCTGGGATCCTGGCTTCAAAGGGTCCAGTCCCTTCCTTTCCTTTTGCATGGTCTTTGGTGACTGCGCAGGGTTTCAGCCCAAGCGATCTCCTCCCGGGAAGTTTCTGGTAGTAGAGTGACCTCACCAGGAAGGAGTGCTCGAGGTAGCCGCAGCTGGTAGTGGGAAGATGCTGTGGTCTGAGATTTTATTACTGCATTGTGCTCTGCGGGGGTCTTGGGAGGGAATGAGAGAAGGGTCCGGAATGCTGCCTCTGGCTCAGAGATAGGTATAGGTTTAAGACATTATGTTAATGGCCTAACCAAGGTACTCCTTTTTCAGCCTGGGGTCATCATGACACCAGGTCCATGGGTTGGAGAACCCTTCATGGGACACCTGAACTTGAGGCCCACAGACCCAGACCCTTGGAGTTTCTGTCTAGGTGTAGCTCATTTGTCAGTGACTCTGTGTTGTTTAGGGGAAATGTGTGCGGGTGGCACAAGGTTACAGTTAGCAACTCTTTGGAGTACATCCCATTCCGCTCTCCTTCATCTCTGTCTCAGTCTGCATGACCCATGTCCCTGACTCCTCCCTTCTCCTACTTGAAGATGAGCTTTGAAATAAGGTGATGTCATTGTGGGCCAGTCAGAAGCCTCCGCTGGTGACATGTGACAAGCAGAAGCTCTTGTAGGGGGGACTGCACGTGGGGCTGGGATGCTGCCGCAGAGCAGTTCCAGGCAGGGCACAGTGACCCTTTGTTTTGCCACCCCCCCAAATCCCCAGCTTAGCGGGTGAGCAGTCCTTGATTAGATATGCAGGGGTCTCCCAGAGAAGGAGGCTTTGGGTTTTCATCTGCAGTTCCTCTGGGGATTCCTAAGATGATTAATGCCTAAGGCGTTAATGAAAGGGATGGGGGAGGAATTGAGTGTCCCCAGTGGAAGACCTTCATGGTTGTTGGTGAGGAAAGAAGGCATCTTGTCCTGTGAATGTAATTCCTGCAGAGCTGAATGGTCAGGCCGGTGGTAAGAGGTGAACCTAGAGGGAAGACTTTAGTGACTGTGTGTGCTTACGCCTTAAAACTGTATATTGTGGAAAGAATCAAGGGCCCTTGATGGAACCCCCACAAAGTGGAGTGTGCCTCAGTTTGCTTCTCCTGACTCTAGTATCATTCTGTTGCAGAAGAAGAAAGGAGGGCGCGGGCCAATGATCGAGACTATAATGAGAAATTCCAGTATGCGGTAAGTGACCAGAGACCACCTATTCCCTCCTCCTCAGTCAGAAAGGTGCAAAAACATCCTGGGTGTGAGTGGGGGCCGGCGGAGAGGGTAGGGTGCTTGGGGAGAGTGGGGCGCCGTCTCCTCACCATTCTCCATCTGTTGCTGTGCTGAATTTTTTATGCCTCACCTGTCATTGAAGTGGGATGCACTGGTCCCCTGAGACTCCCTTCTCTCCTCTGCTCTCCCCTCCACACCTGCGGTTGCTAGCCTGAGGGCGGAGTTAGAGGGCCAGTAGGTGGAGGCTGCATTCTCTGTCTGGTTCTGGGTTAGGGCTAGAGGCTGCCTCACTGTCATCTCTCTCACTGCCATAGAGTAACTGCATCAAGACCTCCAAGTACAATATTCTCACCTTCCTGCCTGTCAACCTCTTTGAGCAGTTCCAAGAAGTTGCCAATACCTACTTCCTGTTCCTTCTCATTCTGCAGGTAAGTGACCTATAGTTGACCTTTTGCGGCTCATAAAAGCTGACTGAAGTGGAGGAAGAGCACGGTCTAGGGGAAAAGAGGGCAGGGGCTGGGGCTCAGAGGCACACCTTCTCTCTTCTTTTCAGTTGATTCCACAGATCTCGTCCCTGTCCTGGTTCACCACCATTGTGCCTTTGGTTCTTGTCCTCACCATCACAGCTGTTAAAGATGCCACTGATGATTATGTGAGTTGTTTTCATTCTTCCGCCTTTCCCCAGCCCCAGCACCCTCACCAACACCCTGTTCCTTGATGACCTCGCCAACCCTGCCCTGGTCCAGCTAGAATGAGGATATCATGACTGAGAATAGGGAGGGGGAGTCAGGAAGAAGTAGATCTGTGAACAGGGAAAGGGGTTGTAGGGGCAGGACTGGACCAGTGCAGGTTTTCTAGGATCCCATGCAGACCGGGTAAAGGAGGAGTCAGAGTCCTTAGTGGGTTTTTGCAGGTCTTTTATTGGGGTTCACCAGGCTTATGGCAGGCAGGGGTGCTGGGGGGCCGGGAGGCTGGCAGTCCTCCCAGCCCCCAGCAAATCCTCACTCTATCTGGGCTCTTTGGCGTTCTCTGCTTCTGCTTCTGCTTCTGCTTCTTCTCCGCTTCTCTCTCGGCTTCTGCTGCTGCTGGCGTCCCCATGACGCCGCCCTTAAAAGCCCAGTCTTAGCCCAGGTGAATCCCATCTACCTATGCCCACACCCTACTCCAGGTGCCCGCCATCAGGCATGCATTCAGGACCGCAAGGATCCATCATCTATCCTGATGGCGGGAGGGCAGAAAAGCCTGACATCTTCTTTACCCTACAGGGGTGTATCCAGAGATACAATGAGGGGGTACCCAGTATAATCTGCATTCCCCTGGTCACCTCCCTTCTTTGAAGCAGGGGAAAGGTGTCTTACCTTTTTTAGTTTTCTTCTTTACAGTTCCGCCACAAGAGCGATAACCAGGTGAATAACCGTCAGTCTCAGGTGCTGATCAATGGAACGTGAGTGCTTGTTGGATACCAAAGGGTGGAGAGGGGTCCCCTGGGAATTTCTCTAGCTTCTGACAGCCTCTTCTCTCTCTTGTCATTGTCTCAGCCTCCAGCAAGAGCAGTGGATGAATGTCTGTGTTGGTGATATTATCAAGCTAGAAAATAACCAATTTGTGGCGGTAAGGACAGGGTGCCCCCAGGCTTCTTTCTTTCCTTTGGCAAAAAGGAGTCTTTCTTGATTTACTTTTTTTTTTTTTTAATATATTTAAAGAACAGGATTAGGGAAAGGGACAGAAGAATAAAGGGAACTTGTGTAGACACAAGTGGGCAGGAAGAGCTGCCCCAGAAGGGACAGGTTTGCTAAGAGAGGCCTGCATGGTTGCAGGCGGCCGGCCTTGACAGGTCACTGGCAGGCAGGAGGCTGCTGCCCTGCAGAGGGAGAGAGCTGGTGAAAAGAAGCACCTGCATAGTCACAGGTGGGCAGTGGGATTGCTGCCTTTCTTGATTTACTCTTTCCTCTTCAATACTCACAGAAGGAAATTTCTGTGTCATCTTATGCCTGGAACCTTCTCCTTTCTAGCCATTCATGTTTTGGGACTGAGTAAACCAAGAATGCTCAGTGGAAGGCGGCATAGGCACAGGGTTCCTGGTGGGTGGGGGTTTGGGTCTTTTGGTTCTCATTAGATTTTTCTCTCTAGGCGGATCTTCTCCTCCTTTCCAGCAGTGAGCCCCATGGGCTGTGTTACATAGAGACCGCAGAACTCGATGGGTGAGTCGATGCCCCATGTCACACCTCTCTTCTGCCTCCTCAGGGGTCAGTATTTTGGAAAGATGTCCACAGATCTGGGATGTCTACCATTTGGAAAAAGTAGGGATAGTAAAGCCTTTGGGTGTGTGAAAGTGTTACCCATGGCTAATGTGTGGGGGCAGTGATACCCTGGGTCAGATCTCCCAGGTAGAATCTAGAGGAAGGGAAGGGAACCAGGACTCAGGGACGCTGTCCTTCCAGAGAGACCAACATGAAGGTGCGTCAGGCGATTCCTGTCACCTCAGAATTGGGAGACATCAGTAAGCTTGCCAAGTTTGATGGTGAGTAATCTTGGTGCAGCAGCTATCAGGTAGAGGGGGTGGGTTGAATTTTGGGGTTTAAATCCACCTTTTGACTTCTTGTTGCTGTGGATATGCATCGACCTGTACTTTTCTTGGGGGAGGGGGCATCAGGATGCCAGGTGTTCTTCAATGGCTGCTCATTTCAGGAGAGTTTCATGACTAATACTAGCTCCCTCCTTGCTGTGCATGTTGACATTCAGCTCTTTCTTTTTGTTTACTGGCTCAGGAGAATAATATATGTTCTTTGCAATAAGACAAAGTATACAATGTGTGTAAGAAAAAGCCTTTTTGCCTCCTTATCTACCCTCCTTGGGTAGCCAGGTGAACTGGCTGTTTATATGTCATCCACACTTTTCCTGTGTGTTTATACAAACACTTGAACATTAATCGGGGGTCACACTGCAAAAATGTCGGCTACTTGCCTTTCTTTGCTTAGTATATATATCAGAGGTATCTTATCACATGACTGCATAAAGAAATTGCCTCATTCTTTTTAATAGCTGCATAATATTTTATGGAATCTCTGTATCATCATTTGTTCAAATAGTCTCAAGTTGTCTCCTGTCTTCTGCTGTTCAAATAATGCTTTAGTGAAAATTGTTGTGACCTACGTTAGTTTCTACAGAACAGTGCCCTCAAAATGGGGTCATCGGATTTGCTTTTAATATTAGTTCTCATTCGTTTATCATATATTGCATCAGTTCACACTCCCTCCGGGAACGTGGATGGGCTTGTATCCTCACACCTTCCCCCCTTAGCTGCCTTTTCACTGTGTTTTGTTGTCTCTTGATCAAGCTATAGGCCAGATGTTGAGTGATGGCACTCTTATCTTCCCCTCAGGTGAAGTGATTTGCGAACCTCCCAACAACAAACTGGACAAATTCAGTGGAACCCTCTACTGGAAGGAGAACAAATTCCCCCTGAGCAACCAGAACATGCTGCTACGGGGCTGTGTGCTTCGAAACACCGAGTGGTGCTTCGGGCTGGTCATTTTTGCAGGTGAGTATCCTAGGGGCCACAGAAAGCAGGGTAAGAGTTGCTGCCTCCACCCTCCTTCAGGAGGATGTGGGAGGAGGTTGAGTGGGCTTGGATAATGTGAAGGTAAATCTCTGGCGCACCCTGGGTATAAGCCTCATGTCTTCCCAGTTTCTCTTCCAGTCCAGGAATTGTGCAGAGGCAGATGTGCTATTTGGCTTTCCCTGCCCTTCTCCTCTTTCCCAGGTCCTGACACTAAGCTGATGCAAAACAGTGGCAGGACAAAGTTCAAGAGAACAAGTATTGATCGCCTCATGAATACATTGGTGCTCTGGGTAAGGGTCCCATGCCTGGTTCCTGTCCCTGCCCTCCTGCTTTTCCCTGGGTGCTTGGCTCCCTCTGCCCCATCTCTCCTTCCTGGTCAGAAGTCAGGCTGCAGGTTTTGGCTTTAGAAGCCACGGGTAGACCAGCCACTCAAGACAGTGTTTATTTCAGGCTCCTTTTAGACTTGGAAGATGTTATTTAAAAAAAAAAAAGCTTAGGAACGTGCATGAATCAACAACTTAAAGAAAGCTAAAACAAATCTTCCCTTCTCTGGATTCCAGGTATGATGATGACTTAGCATAGCATGTGACCTTCTGTTTGCTTTTTCCCGGGACAAGGAGGCCTTCATGGGGATGAAGAGGGAATTAAGAGAAAAATTTCCGTTTGGAGGAAATGGGGGTCTTTTATACGAGGGTCTTTTCCCCTGACTTCTAAGAGCGAAGGATCCCAGAGGAAAAGGTTCTGTTTTCGTTTTTTTGGCAATTCCTGAATCCTTCTCTTGTTTGACTAGAAATTTGAGCTCCTTGTCGGGCTCTCCTCCCTTTCTTACGCCCGCACTGGCTGCTGCCTGCCCCCCACATGCCATCTTGCATAGACTGTGGGGCCAGTCTCTGCTGAGACGGTTTCCGCCTTGGCCTTCAAGGGTTTGCAGAGCCCCAGTGTGAGAGAGCAGAGTGGTTAAGTCTCTCTGGCAAAGACTCGCACCGCCCCCTGGTGGTCTTTGTGCGCTGGGCTGGTTCCTGTTTTGTTTCAAAGCCCTGGGAGTGGTGGCAATTTTGGAAATTCTTGTCTGAAATCAGTCAGTGTTTTCATTTTTCTCCTTTTAACCATCAAAACTTCCTTATGAGCCTTCTCCAAGCTTTATAAGATTTTTGACTATCAACATCTATATTAATGAAGATACAGTTTGTTTCCCTGATTAAAATCTGTTTTTGGCAATTTGTGTGAGATAATGAACATTGCAAAAACTTGCAATTTTTTGGGCTTCCCGTGGCTTAGGCGGAGTTAATGGGTGGTTTCCAATAAGTTTTTTTGATGTATTTATGTAGTTTGCCCCTTCCCTTCTTTTACCATCTTCGAGCGCTCCTAAGAGCTCTGGGCTATGAGATTGGGAGCTACACACTTCTCTCAGCTTCCCTGTCATACCGATGAGATAATGTTCACAGAAAAAGCCACGTCATAGTCAGTGGTAGATTAGAGCCTGTCACCAGTTCTGGACTCTTTCCAACAGAACAAACCACTATTTCAAAGATTCCAGGGCTTTTAACGGCCCAGGTGTGAGTGTTGACCTTTGCGGACACGCACACTTGGCTTCGAGGTGGGAGTCTAGCCTCTGCTTCTCATTCCTCCCAGATTTTTGGATTCCTGGTCTGCATGGGGGTGATCCTGGCCATTGGCAATGCCATCTGGGAGCATGAGGTTGGGACCCGCTTCCAGGTCTACCTGCCATGGGATGAGGCGGTGGACAGTGCCTTCTTCTCTGGTTTCCTGTCCTTCTGGTCCTACATCATCATTCTCAACACCGTTGTGCCCATATCGCTCTACGTCAGGTATGTGTTCTCTCCACTCCAGGGTCTCCAGGGAGATGAGGTGGTCTCTTGGCCAACTTTTCTTTTCTATGAAGATGAAATCCTTGAGAAGGAACTTGAAGTCATCCTCTTCCTGTGCTATAAACACCGTGTTAATCTGTTTATCTTTGTGCAGAGCAAGCTTCACCACAGTTTCCTGGCAGTTTGGACTATTTCAAACCAAAACTATTGATTTATTCAGCACATCTTTGTCTCATGCTTATTTGTGCTGGGAAGTATGCTCAATGCTGTGACACATGCAAAGATGGCTTAGGAATCTATCTGCTCCCCCCCTAGGAGCTTCAGTCTGGTAGAGGAAGAAAAATGCAGATGTGTTAAACAAAATGGGAACAAGTGCTATAGAAATCACTCTACCTGCAGTCTTATATGTAAAGCAGGGGCCCCAGGAAGTGTGGAACATGGGCTCTGCCTTTAAAAGCAGCAGGCTGGTAGGGGCCACCAACAGAAGACTGAGGTATAGTATGGGGGCACAGAGTGCCGTGAGAGTGGAAGAACAGTGTTCCCCATGGAGTTAATCAGGGAGGACATCTCTGAGGAGGTGACTGTTGAACTGGGCTTGGGGTAGCAGCTGGGGTGGGTGAAAGCGGAATCGCGAGGAGAGGCCTAGAAACAAAGAAATTCAGAGAGCAACCTAGGAAGGACATGGAATGGTTTGGCAGGAGCATGAACCGTGAGTGGGGGCTGTGTACAGAGTTGGAAATACAAGCTGTTCCCCGTTGTGGAGGGTTTTTTTTTTTTTAAATATAGATGCATGTTTTATTTATTTGTTTGTTTGTTTGTTTATACATGCACTGGGTACAGTCAGAAGTGCGGGAGGGTGAGAGAATTCACCAGAGCCAGAGCGGGGAGCAGAGCAGGCAGAAGGACCGAAGTACACTGCTGAGGGGGGCAGCGGGGGGCAGGGGAGGTCTGCGCGCCATGTGGGACCCTCCTCCGGTGGCCGGGGAGCAACCGGGGATCGAACCGGTGCCATAGAGGCCGTGGGTAGCCTCGCAACCCAGCGCTCAACCACTGCGCCACAAGGGAGGCCCCCATTGTGGAGGGTTTTGAATCTGCTTGTAGACTCTGGACTTACTAAACTGTTAAAGGATTCTTCAAGACATCTCCTGCTCCCTAGTGGCGCAAGGGGTTAAGCACAGCACTGTGAAACTGTCCGCAGCCACTGCAGCATGAGTTCGATCGCTGGCCAGGGAGCCACCCACATGGCACAGCAGACCTCTCCTATCTCGCCCACTGCTCCCCTCAGCAGTGTATTTCAGTTAATCTGCCTGGTCTGTTCCCCACTCTGTCTCTGGTGAGTCCTCTCACCCCCTTGCATCTCTGGCTTGTACCCCAGTTCTTGTATGCATAAATAAGTAAATCTTTAAGAAAAATAAAGAGATCTAAAGAAAACTTTAGGAAGTATTAGCTGGCAGTGCTGTGCAGCCTGAGTAATAGGATCACATAGACATCTTGGATATTTGAGGTAAAGAGAATTTTTTTTTTATAAACACTTTTTAAAAAGATTTATTTTATTTATGCATCCAAGAACTGGGGTATAGGCCAGAGGTGGGGGGGAGGGGTGAGAAGATTCACCAGAGACAGAGTGGGGAGCAGAACAGGCAGACTGATTGAAATACACTGCTGAGGGGAGCAGTGGAGGAGGCAGGAGAGGTCTGTTGTGCCACATGGCTCAGCTCCCTGACAGGGACAGAACTCATGCTGCCGGTGTTAGTTTGATAGCACTGAGACTAACCCCTGTGCCACCAGCGAGGCCCTATGGAGATAAATGTTAAAAGAAGCATTTTTGTTTCATTTTATTTTTTAAAGATTTATTTATTTATGTATACAAGAACTGGAGTACAGGCCAGAGGTGGGGGGAGGAGGTGTGAGAGGATTCACCAGAGACAGAGTGGGGAACAGAACAGGCAGATCGACTGAAATACGCTGCTGATGGGAGCAGCAGGCGAGACAGGAGAGGTCTGTGCCATGTGGGGAGCTCCCTGGCCGGGGATCAAACTCCTGCTGCCGTGGCTGCGGATAGCTTAGAGTGCTGAGACTTAACTCCTTGTGCCACGAGGGAGGCCCCTGAGGAAAAGAGAAAATGAACAGGGACTGGGCCAGTGAGAGTGAACAGGAAGAGAAGTCAGAGGAGGAAGAATGGCTAGAAGACATTTTCTTTGTACTTAGTGTCTTGCCATATTTTTAAGGAAATACTTTATGGAGACACTCAAAACTTCCTATCTACTATCTTTTTTTTAACATAGATCCTCAACTCTCCCCACTAGCCCCCAATTCCTAGTGTTGATGGTGGTGAGTGGCAGTGCTTCTGTAACAGGTGTGCGGTTTAAGTGATTGGAACATTAGAGATGCAGAAGGCGTGTGGCTTAGTCTCACCTTCTCATTAATCACGTGACCTTGAGCAGACCCCAGTCACTCTGGACCTTCGTTTTCTTGTGTCACATGGGATAATAATGATACCTGCTCCATCTTCCTCGTAAGGATGTCTTTTATTTATTTATTTTTTCCTATTATTTTTCTTAGTCATAGGGTTATGTTAACATAAGATATTAGGTAGAAAAAGCTTTTAAAAAATTAAATCACTGTGCAAATTTAGGGTGTGGCATGCTTAACCGAATCTGTTTCATTACTATTTAAATGTTTTCAAGCAATAATTCTTTTTTAAAAAAGAAATGTTTTCATGCTTACGTCCTGCTTTTTCATCTTCCATCCTATTTTTCCTTCCATCTTTCCATCACTCTGAGCCCACTATAGCTGTCCAAGAAAAGTTTCAGTCTCCTCAGCTTACAGTGCATGTTTGGGGAAGGGGCACTTGATTGTCTGAGTGGGGAAGGCTATGAAAACATCTCCAGTGGACTCCTCTTTTGCCTGATTACAGTCCTGAGAGCTGCCTCGGTCACTTGGCAGCAGGTGCCCTCTGTGCCCCTCTGCTCGGCTCCACTGGACTTACACACAGACCCTTTCTGGAAATGCCGAGCGTCCATGCTGCTGAGGCAGTGCTAGCACAGAGCAGGACTGAGCACACCTGGGGTGAGACGGCGCTGTGCTCTTGTGGGTTGCTGTTTCCCGGTTCCTTCAGTCAGTGCCTCATGTTCTCCCCAAAAGCCTTGGAGCCAGGGCCATGGAGTCCGGAGGCCAGGCAGAAGGAGGTCAGTGAGGAGTGGGTTTGGTGCCTCCTCCATCTCCTTTCCCTGCCCCCACGGGCCCCTCACCTTGCTGAGGTGGTGTCTGTGTTGCTGTGGCACACGCAGTACCCTCATTATCTCTCTTTTTTTTTTCTCTCCCTTCTCTCTCGCACTCTCTTGTTTTCTCTGCATGGTTTCTATGTTATTAGTCCTGAGGTAAGAACTGGTTGAGTGCCTTGTCCACACTCCCTTTTCCTTCTCCACTTGTTTTGTCTGCCCCACCTGCCCAGGTCCTTTTCCCTTTTAGCCTGGAGGGCATTAGAGGGTTGGGGTTAGGGTTCCTATGCCAGCTCCGTCCCCACCCAGGTTCCTGTGCCCAGGTGTCTGCTCCACTCTTGTTGCTCCCAGGCAGAGGGCCTGCAGCGAAGGCCTGTGGGGGCAGGGCGGCCTCCCTTCCTGCCCCAAGCCTTACCTCCTGTGCCCCGTGCAGTGTGGAGGTCATCCGTCTGGGCCACAGCTACTTCATCAACTGGGATAAGAAGATGTTCTGCATGAAGAAGCGGACGCCGGCAGAGGCCCGCACCACCACCCTGAACGAGGAGCTGGGCCAGGTGGAGTACATCTTCTCCGACAAGACGGGCACCCTCACCCAGAACATCATGGTCTTCAACAAGTGCTCCATCAATGGCCGTAGCTATGGTAGGGCCATGCCGTCGGAGACCGAGGCTCCCACAGTTGTGGGTTTTCACTCCTTTCTTACATGGGTCCGCGAGGCTTTGAAAGGGTTTCCCTGTATCCTGTGTTGGAAGCAGACACATGGTGCCTCAGCTGGTGCCCACGCCCTGGACTCAGCTCCAGGTAGTAGAGGAGCTCCTTGACTGCAGTGAAGCCTGCAGTGTCCTGGCCAGGTTGGACCTTGGCTGCCTGGGGGAGTGCTCAGCTCTCATTGTGTAGTTGTGCAGGGCCCTGTGCATCTCTGGAATGTGACCGTGGTCTTTCCATTATGGCCCTGCTGCTGTGGCCTTGTGTCTGAGCTGCTGGGATGGTTTGGGACAGGGTGTGGGAGGCCTGACTTTTATGTCTAGGGAGTCCTCTCATTACTGCATTGTGTACTAACTCAGGCCTGTGGCTGCCGTGTGAGGCTTTGCAGTCTGGGCCTTAAGGGTAAAAGGCATCTGAGGAGGCCTGGGAGCCGTGGGGAAGGGGTGTAGAATTGAACTGCCTTGGGAGGAAAGCTGGTGGGGACTGGCAGGAATGGGGAGTGGTGGGTGTCATGACGTTCAGTACTGGGGTTCTGAAGAGCTCGGGTGCCTTTTGCCCTATCCCCAAGTCAGCAGTGTGAATCTGTGGATCTGCAGAGTAGGGTAGAGGGTAACAGGTGCCTGCTGGGGCTCTGTGTTAGAGGCCTCTCCCCTGCTTTGACATTGCTGTCTTGATGCATGCAGGTGACGTGTTTGATGTCCTGGGACACAAAGCTGAATTGGGAGAGGTAAGGTCCAGCCGCTGCAGTTGTTCCATATACAAATTAAATATGGGGTGCCTGACGGGGAACAGCTTGAATAGCTAGGAGGGATTTTGTCTGGTCAGGAAATGGAAACTGCTTGGAGAAATGGGTGTTTTAAGGAGAAACTGGCAGCAGAAGTGGGAATTCTGAGGTTCACAGTGGACAGGATCTTGGGCTGTTCTACTGAGAGTTAGAAGGGCAGGTCCCTGGGGTGAGGATGGCCCTCTTCCTGGGAGACAGCCTCACTGTCCACCCTTTGCTGATTGCCCTCTTACCTGCTGCAGAGGCCTGAACCTGTTGACTTCTCCTTCAATCCTCTGGCTGACAAGAAGTTCTTATTTTGGGACCCCACCCTCTTAGAGGCTGTCAAGATGGGGGATCCCCACACACACGAGTTCTTCCGCCTCCTTTCCCTGTGTCATACTGTCATGTCAGAAGAGAAGAACGAAGGTGAGCGTGGAGCTGCTTGCTCTGCGTTGTGGTCGGGCTGGGGCTCCCTGGGCAGGGCTCCAGGCCGGGAGGTGACCCCTTACACCACGAGTATTCTTCCTCCCACCCAGGGGAGCTGTACTACAAGGCCCAGTCCCCGGACGAGGGGGCCCTGGTCACTGCAGCCAGGAACTTTGGTTTTGTATTCCGCTCTCGTACCCCTAAAACCATCACTGTCCACGAGATGGGCACAGCCATCACCTATCAGCTCCTGGCCATCCTGGATTTCAACAATATCCGCAAGCGGATGTCAGTCATAGGTGAGGGCAGGACCAGGGTGACGTGGTCATCCAGGGGCCGTGTGTAGAGGTGCTGGTTCCCTTGTGGGTGCCTTGAGGTTGGGATTATTTGCCTGACTGGATTTTTTCTGAGCCTTTCTGTCCCTGCCCCACTAAGTGCGGAATCCAGAAGGGAAGATCCGACTCTACTGCAAAGGGGCTGACACGATCCTGCTGGACAGACTCCACCACTCCACACAAGAGCTGCTCAACACCACCGCTGACCACCTGAATGTAGGCACATGGAGAGGGGCCATGGCTCTGCTGCTCCCAGTGTTGTGGGAGGGGCAGGAGGAAGGGGTAACTCTAGGACTCTGCCTCTAGGAGTATGCGGGCGACGGACTGAGGACCCTGGTGCTGGCCTACAAGGATCTGGATGAAGAGTACTATGAGGAGTGGGCTGAAAGGCGCCTGCAAGCCAGCCTGGCCCAGGACAGCCGGGAGGACAGGCTGGCCAGTGTGTATGAGGAGGTTGAGCGTGACATGATGGTATGGGCTGTGGTCCGGGCTCAGGGTGGGCAAGGAGGGCTCACTCCTGGGACTCACAGCAGGGATCCTGGTGATATTTTCAGCTGCTGGGTGCAACAGCCATTGAGGACAAGCTGCAGCAAGGGGTTCCAGAGACCATTGCCCTCTTGACTCTGGCCAACATCAAGATTTGGGTGCTCACTGGAGACAAACAAGGTGAGCGCCCAGTAGGGCAGAGGCAGGTGCATCTGGACGGCAGCCCCGATGGGTCCTGGATGGGCCCGGGAAATCAGGCAGGAGAGTACGCTGACCTTGTTGGGCCCTGTCCGTAGCTCCTGCGTTCTCTCTTGGTAGAGACGGCCGTGAACATTGGCTACTCCTGCAAGATGCTGACAGATGACATGACAGAAGTGTTTATTGTCATGGGCCACACTGTCCTGGAAGTGCGGGAAGAGCTCAGGTAAGCAGGGGCTGGGCCGGACAGGTGTCCTGTATACGGGCCAGCCAGGAGGTTCCTGGAGCCGGTTTGGGCTTGAATCTCTCATCACCTCAGGAACTGTGCTCCTGCCCCTGATTACTGTGTTTCCTTTCCGCTTCCCAGGAAAGCCCGGGAGAAGATGATGGATTCACCCCGCACAGTGGGCAATGGCTTCGCCTACCAGGAGAAGCTCTCTTCTTCCAAGCTCACTTCTGTCCTGGAAGCTGTGGCTGGGGAGTACGCCCTGGTCATTAATGGGCACAGCCTAGTAGGTGTTGCCATCCTTGGTGTGGGCTACATCTCTCCAGAGTTGTATATCTGTACGACTTTTGTCTCTTGTTCTCATTTCCCTCTACTTCCCAGGGGGTCGGTCTCAAAGGAACTGGGAGGCACTGGCTGGGGCAGGTTCTGCCTGGGGAAGGCTGGAGCTTTCTCAGGGCTCTCTTGTGTTCCAGGCACATGCACTAGAGGCAGACATGGAGCTGGAGTTTCTGGAGACAGCCTGTGCCTGCAAAGCTGTCATCTGCTGCCGGGTGACCCCCTTGCAGAAGGCACAAGTGGTGGAACTGGTTAAGAAGTATAAGAAGGCTGTGACGCTTGCCATTGGGGATGGAGCCAATGACGTCAGCATGATCAAAAGTGAGTGTAAACAGTGGGTGTATAGGCTGAGTGGGAGGGTGGGAAGAAGGACGGACCCATGAGATCTCTGGACCAGAGAAGCATGATGGGAAAGGAGGATGGTAACTTGGGACACTGAAAGGTGTGGCCATCTCTACCCTCTTGTCCTCTCTTGTCTTGCAGCCGCTCACATTGGCGTGGGCATCAGCGGGCAGGAAGGGATCCAGGCCGTCCTGGCCTCTGACTACTCCTTCTCCCAGTTCAAGTTCCTGCAGCGCCTTCTGCTGGTGCATGGGCGCTGGTCCTACCTGCGCATGTGCAAGTTCCTCTGTTACTTCTTCTACAAGAACTTTGCTTTCACCATGGTCCACTTCTGGTTCGGCTTCTTCTGTGGCTTCTCGGCCCAGGTAGTGAATGTTCCCCGTCTTGCCTAGCTATGAGCGCCATGGGGCAGAGATTGTATCTGTCTATTCATAGCTCAGTCCCCTAGGATTAGCTGTTGTCTGGTGCATGCATGCATTAACCAAATGCTTATTGGAGGAGTGGAGTGGGAGCGGCACACAGTCCCTCAGGGCTCCATGCCTGCACCTCGCTGTCATGAAGAGGACGATGTGTTCATTTCTCTTTTGCTCTCTGCTCTTCCAGACCGTCTATGACCAGTATTTCATCACCCTTTATAACATTGTGTACACCTCCCTCCCAGTTCTGGCTATGGGGGTCTTCGATCAGGTATGGGGTGTTGATGACTCTGTGGGATGGGGAGGACTCTCCCATATCCTTCAGTTGCAGGGTGTGGGAGTATGGTCCACCCTCTCAGATGAGCCGGCCTGGGAGTCACAAACAAAGATTGGTTGGGGACGGCTGTCTTGAGGTTGAATCTAGCTGTCAAAGGAGGCAGGGACAGGGTCTGTCCTTGTCATCTTGAGTTAAAATGGAAGCTTCTGAGCCCTCCCGTGCCACCTGCCTCCCAACACAGGATGTCCCAGAGCAGCGGAGCATGGAGTACCCTAAGCTCTATGAGCCAGGTCAGCTGAACCTCCTCTTCAACAAGCGGGAGTTCTTCATCTGCATCGCCCAGGGCATCTACACCTCCGTGCTCATGTTCTTCATCCCCTATGGGGTGTTTGCTGAGGCCACCCGGGATGATGGCACACAGCTGGCCGACTACCAGTCCTTTGCAGTCACGGTGGCCACTTCGCTGGTCATAGTGGTCAGTGTGCAGGTACGAGAAGTCCGGGAACTACCCTCACCTCTGGAAGGAGTAAGGTTCTTGTCCCTAGGGCTGCCTCAGGCATGACAGTTCTGTTTCTGGGAGGGGGTTGGACCTTTGAAGGGGTGCTCCTTCTGCCCGTGATGGCTCCTGCTCTTTGCAGATCGGCTTGGACACAGGCTACTGGACAGCCATCAACCACTTCTTCATCTGGGGCAGCCTAGCTGTTTACTTTGCCATCCTCTTTGCCATGCACAGCAATGGGCTTTTTGACATGTTTCCGAACCAGTTTCGATTTGTAGGTGAGTCCCTGTGTCTTCTTCTTAAATCAGTGAAGAATCTTAGCTGTCATGGGACTAATAGGCTCGCTGGCCAGTCTGCATGTCTGCACGTCCATTTAGCTTTCCTGATGTGCCAGGTCTTCTGCAAGGTGCTGTGGGGTACCTGGGTGTCTCTGACCCAGGCCCTGTCCTCTGAGTGTGTCCATGTCCCTGACACTGAAGGACAGCCTTGCTAGGTATGGAAAGTTAGGACTCCAGGGGTGTCAGTCTTCATGGCAACAGCATGGCTGCTTGTGGGGAGGGTGTGTGGGGGATCAAGGATAGTCCCACAGGGGAGCCTGTTGTGAGAGAGGAGCCAGGAATGGGGTGCCAGATTCCAAGTTAGAGAGGTGGAAGTGCAAAAAGCCCCCTTGTTTTTAGGGGGTGGAGTTTGCAGCAGCCAGGGTGGGGCAAGAGTCCCCTTTGGGAAGTAGTGGAAGAGGCTGGAAGGGTAGGACATTGGAGGAATCAGAATTCCAGACTGTCAGGTTTACACTTGACTTGCCAGGAGTCTTGCCAGGCACCCAAAGATGACTTTAGAAAAAAATGAATGGCAGTGGCGGGTGGCTGGGGGCCCGGGTGGGAGGCTGAGGGTGACAGTCACATTAGACCCATTCATTCTCTCATCCAGTGGGCGCGCAGTCAGCACCTACTGTGTGTGTCCCTTACCTTTCTGGATGTTGGGGGTCAGCAGCGAACAGTGAACAGGCAAAATCCTTGGCCTCCTGGATTTCATATTCAATGAGACACACAAGTTACACGTTAACAGATAAAATGTCTGGAACTCATACATTCTATGAAAAGCATCAGGCCAGGTTAGAGAGGACAAGAGTGGTCAGAAAGCTCTCCTGAGGAAGGGCCATTGTGAATAAAGGGAAGGAGAGACCCAGGAAGAGGAAACGGTGTTACCGAAGCCGAAGCCGGAGGTGGTGCCTGGCGGGAGGTCTTTGGCAGCAGAGGAGGTATGTGTGTGTGGGGGAGAGTCACTCTAGGTCACTTAAGCTCTTCTAGGGCAGAGTAGATCTCTAAGCATGAGAGGAAGCCACTGGAGGATTTTGAGCAGGAAGTGTCATAAATAGATTAAAAAAAGGCTTGCTTTAACTGTTGTGGCTAAAAGGGGCAAAGGTAGATATGGGGAGACCAGTTAAGAGCTACAACAGGAAGCTAGGTGAGGGTGACGGTGGCTTGGGGATAGAGAGAAAGCCAGGGGCGTATAGGTATTTTGAAAATGGATGTAGGCATGCATCCAAAATTCCTATGGGTGCTAGTATAAGTTCTCAGTATATGTTTGATGAATGGACAGAATGGATGAATGGATGGAATGAAAGAATGAGAGGGAGGGAGGGATCAAGGTCGACTTCAGGGCTTTTGGGAAGACGGGGAGCAGTTTGTGGTGGAAGAAACATGGTTACTTGGGCCATGTGAGCTTGAGATGCCTGTTACCCATTCAGTGAGAAGCCAAATAATCAAATAATCAGTGGGAAGCCAAAGAATCAAATCCAATGTTTTGGGGAGAATTTGGAGCTAGACTCAAATTTGGAGATAAGACGTTTGAGGAGCAGGGAGGAGGGGGAAGCCAGGGGTGACTTAGGTTTTGAGACTGGGGAGATGGGGCTGTCAGGAACCAAATTCAGAGGGCTGCCCTCTGTCTACTGTGTGACTCCTGTGCTGCCTCTGGTTACCAGGTAATGCTCAGAACACCCTGGCCCAGCCCACAGTGTGGCTGACCATTGTCCTCACCACAGTCGTCTGCATCATGCCTGTGGTTGCCTTTCGTTTCCTCAAGCTGAGCCTGAAGCCTGATCTCTCTGACACGGTGAGAAGCTGGCTGTCGCTTGGGGGGACGGAGGCTTGTGTCAGAAACCCTTGGCTTACACACTCACATGGCTGCAGTTCCTGGGTTGCATGACTTGACTTGTGAGCGGGGTGCTGGTGCCCATTCGTTGTTCCCCAGCCCGGTGCACTGGGTCCCTGCTCTGTGGTGACATCTGACACTGACAGAGGCTTCTTCCTGGTGTTCACCCCCCAGGTCCGCTACACTCAGCTGGTGCGGAAGAAGCAGAAGGCCCAGCACCGCTGCATGCGCAGGGTGGGCCGCACAGGTTCCCGGCGCTCAGGCTACGCCTTCTCCCACCAGGAGGGCTTTGGGGAGCTCATCATGTCTGGCAAAAACATGCGGCTCAGCTCCCTTGCGCTCTCCAGCTTCACCACCCGTTCCAGCTCCAGCTGGATTGAGAGCCTGCGCAGGAAGAAGAGTGACTGCGCAGGCAGTCCCAGTGGGGGACCTGACAAGCCCCTCAAGGGGTAGCGGCTGGGACTGGGCTGCCCTGGTGGGGATCAGAGCACGTGGGGGCAGGCCAGCCACGAGAGGACAGCATCTCAGAACTCTGGGTCCTCGTCCTTGCCTCCCCAGCACCCCTGGTAGACTCTGTCCTGCTGGTCCCACCAAGTGCTGCTGGGGTGTCCCCAGCCGGGAGGGTGGAGGTGGAGGGACCCGAGGGCAGGGGCTGAGGCATCAGAAACCAGCCCTAGTGGGGGACCAGATGTGGAACCAAAAACAAGAAAAAGCTGTGAGAGATTGGGTCTGCTCCTGCCCTTCCTGAGAGTCCCACAGGGAGACACTAATCTCTGTATTTTTTTACTCCAACTCCCCAGAGGGGCCCTGGAGCCCCCCGCTCCTGAATTATATCAGAATGTATCACGCCAGGAAGCCAGAGACCTGCTGGGGCCTCTGGGCCCCTCACATCGTGTATGTCTCTCCTTGATTTGTGTTTGTGTCCAGTTTGGTTTTGTCTTTTTTATTTAGCAAGTGGAGGAGGCCTTTATGTGACTTTATGTTGTGGTTGGTGTCTTAACTCTCCTGGAGAAGAGGCTGGTGCACGTGGTTCCCGACCTGGCTGCGCGTGGTGTGGTTTGTGTTCCAGCAGCTGGTGCTGCTGAGGACAGAGATCCTGACCAGGGAGGGGCTGCCTCTCAGCCAGAGACTGCAGGGAGTGTAAGGAGGGTTTGGTCCTGTCTCCTTCCTCACCTTGAGAGTGAAGTGCTACGCCCCCTGCCCCCCAATCCATCAACTCCTGGATTCCTTAAGTCCTGCTGGCACTGGACTAGAACCTGGAAAAGTGGCCCCATTCTCCTCTGTGATCTATAGCTGGATATGAAATTTTGTCCTTGAAAGTTCCCTTGGATTTTAAATTTAGACCCAAGTTCATTAGCAGAGTCCCTTGCGACTTTCCTTCTCCCTTCTCTTGGTGGGATGCTACGCTTGCACCCCAGGACCTGAGATAGGCCTGACAGGGAAGCTGGGCTCTGCTGGTAAAGAAGGGATCCCGTGCCTCTAGCCCCAGCATTGGGCAGGAGGTAGGGGGGCCCATGAAGGTGGTGGTGCTGCAGGAGGAGGAGGGCAAACCGGACCAGGAGGCTGCTGCTCAGTGCCTGGCTCGGTTGGAGGCCTGGCACTGGTCCTTCCCCTCCATCGTCCACACCGGGGAAGCTAGTCCCCAAATTAGGCCTTTCCTGGGTTGGTTGCTACCAGATCAGTCTTGGAAAGTAGAGGGTTACTCAGGAATGGTGTGGAGCTGGGGTGGGGAATGAGATCTGAAACATGTGATGTGGGAGCCCTGAGGGAACTGGAGGTGGACATCATGAGGCGTGGGGGGAGGTGGGGGGAGGCTTGACAGGGAGATCCCTTTAGGCCACAGTTTACAAACCCAACATGTCTGTCTGTGTGTCTCTCAAGGTGAGAGTCTGATTTTTATACCAAAGAGGAAATGAGTTTTTTCATATTTGGTTTGTCTATATTATATAAATATAAATATAAATATATATATATACAGCTATATATATATTATTTTTTTGGTTCTCTCTCATTTTTTAGGGAGGGAGGAAAGTACCAAGTTGCATTGAGCTATAATTAAGGAACATTCTGTATAATTTATGACACATTTCTATACTTGCAAAAATTATATCATTTTATGGATATAAGAGAAAATGCCTTTTTATAAAATTCAAATTTCTGAGAAGTGTGTGCTTTGTCTTTTTTCTGATGTTTAACCAAGACCGGTAAAATCGAACTATTCTTTTTTTTTTTTTTTTTAATAGAGGCATGTTTTATTTATTTATTTGTTTGTTTGTTTCTTTTGTTTATACATGCACTGGGTACAGTCAGAAGCGCGGGAGGGTGAGAGAATTCGCCAGAGCCAGAGCGGGGAGCAGAGCAGGCAGAAGGACCGAAGTACACTGCTGAGGGGAGCAGCGGGCGGCAGGAGAGGTCTACGCGCCATGTGGGACCCTCCTCCAGTGGCCGGGGAGCAGCCGGGGATCAAACCGGCGCCGCACAGGCCACAGGCAGCCTCGCAACCCAAAGCTCAACTGCTGCGCCACCAGGGAGGCCAAAATCGAACTATTCTTAAATGGGATGAGTGGTCAGGTCTGGGCCAAGGAGGAGGGGCGAAGACGGGCTCTGACTGGGGGTGGGGGCATCTCCTCTGAACACCTTGCTGCATTTGGGTGCATTTCAGCTGGAAGATGGGCTGGTGAATGGACTGAAGGACACTTGGGGATCTTATGTTTGACGGATAGGTGCCTCGTGCATTTGTAGACACCAGGCCAACCTCTCATTCCTCACATGCCAAATGGGTGCATATGTGGAGGCAAAGTACCAGGTAAAAGTTATAAGTCGTGTTTTCACTTCTACCCCACGCCTTTGCCTTTGGCACTGACCTCGTAGTCTCACATCCAGGAGCATAAGTATTAGAGACCAAGACACAGAAATTGAAGATGAGCAGGCACGGTGAGCTTTCCTCAGGGAGTGAGGTGAGGACGCTGTCCCTGGAGAGCTTGGGGCTGAGCTGGTGCATCTGACAATCAGATTTCCTACCTCCTTCCTGTGCTCTCCTACCTCCTTCCTCACTGAGGACGCTGGTGTCACCTTATGTCTTCCTCTCTTCCCATCCTTGTCCTCCACGCTGCCTTCTGAGCACCCTGCCTTCTGAGCACATCTTACTCTGAGGATAAGTCAGTCTGATGTCCTGCTTGTTCTTCCTCTGGTCTCATTCCTGAGGGCTTTCACCTCCCCTCTTAAATGGCACACCCCCACGGGCACCCCACTGTTCACCTCTGAAATTGCACGCTCCAGTATTGGACCTCCCTGATCGCCTTTCACCTGTACCCCCGAGAGTCCTGCAACCTGCCTTTTCTCCGCATTATTCTTTAATGCTGACTCCCCACTCGGCTCAGAGCCCGTGTCTGCTGTTAGTCACTCTGCCCAGCCTCCCTCCAATGCTGATGACCCCAGTGTCCTTGGTGAGCTGCCAACCGGCGAGGAGAGCCTGGCCATGGTGCACAGCAGCTTCAGATTCACAGCCTCCCCCTCCCGAGGCCAGTCAGCGCAGTGCGCGGAGTGGGCTTTTCTCCTTACCTTATTCTCCATCCCCTCACCGACTGTTCCTGCCTTTCACCTCTTTCCTCAATTCCTTCCCACCTCCCACCCTCCCCTCAGCAGATGGTTCTACCTCCTTCACAGAGGAAAATAGCTGCTTCAGTTTTCCCGATCACCCACAGGTTCCACTCCACAGAGGCAGCCCTAACTCCTCGGCCGTGCTCGGCGCCCCCCATCTCCCCACCTCGGCGCACGCCTCCCTCCTCCAGAGTCTTCCCTTCCCCAAATAAGCCTACTCAGAATTTTCCACACCTACTCCCCTCCTCAACCCTATCAGCTACTTAGTGATCTGCATCCAAGTCCTGCTCATCCCACTCCTGCAGTCCAGCTTCTCCTTGACTTCACCAGAGTTGCTTTGCCCTCCGTGTGGTCATGCCCAGAGGACATTTCCAGGTCTGCTCTTACTCGTGATCTCAGTCGTTTGTCCTTGTGAGCCATTTCCTCCTTGAAATTGCCCTCTGCTGGCTTTTAAAAAATACCCCTCTAGGCTTCACCACTGCTGCTCTGGCTGTTCCTCACTCTCCTTTCCTGCAGTTCCTTCCGCTCTTCTCCACCAGGGCCCCCACAGAGGCTCCGAGCTCTTCTGGCCCGCACAAGGACCTCAATGCCCCATCCAAACCCCTGGTTCAGATGGGTTTGGGAGAGTTGCCGCTGCTCATCTGCAGATGGGGCCTTTTCCCCACCCGGTGCTGTAGACGCTGTATTCAACTCCTCACTGGGCCTCTCCACTCGGATGCCCACCAGCACCTCCCAGGCAACACACCCTGAATTGAACGGTACTTTTTCCAACACCTGCTCTGCCCCCTGCATCCTTTATTTCGGCGAATGGCACACTGTCTTCCCAGTCAGCAAAGCCAGATGTACAAGTCCTGGGAAAAGGCCCATGACATCAGCTCTGGCACCCCCATGCTCCACAGCGCACAGTTCATCCTTGAAATTGAAACAAATTAAACTGCGACGTCTTGAGCCACTATTTCTCAGTGATGACAACCCAGGCTGGGTCTTGACAGATGGTTGCTCCCAATCCTAACTTAGGTTAGGATTGCAAACACAAATTATTCCCTGGTCCTGTGGAGAAAGTGGGTAGATACCAGAGTGCTGGGGCCAGGCAGACAGGTGGCTGGGGCTCCACGCTGCTGCCACTCCTCAGGGCACCAGGGAGTGAGTCACTGATAAAAAGCTGGGACTATGGACCGGCGCCTCCACTCTGGAGTGGTCAGCTCGCACGAGGTCCCC